TAAGGAAAGACCTCATCTGCCACAAAAGACTTACAATACAGACAAAACTGGCTTATTTTTGGAAAAATATGCCCAGTAGAATGTTATGTCAGATGCAAAAAGAATACATCTAGTTTTAAGGACCAATTCACACCCCTATTTGTTGGAAATACATCAAAGAAATACTAGCTCAGTCAATTTAAACTTAAGAAATAGACTACTCTCTTGTGAGAACCAAACTTTCTTATAAGTAGTATGTCTTCAGACACCTGCACATATCTTTATTAGAAAGAATTAGGCTTAGGCCCACCGCCCAGAGAGGCCTGAGAGCCATCGGGTCCACATACCCCGAGTTAGCCATGCCAGAACAGGCAGGAGCCCACAGGACTCCCACAGGACTCCCAGCCCAGGCCAGTGCCCGCCACCCAGAGAGGCCTGAGAGCTGCTGGGCCCACAAGACCTGAGTCAGCAGTGCTAGAACAGGCAGGAGCCATGGGACCTCCATCCCAGGTCAGTCCCCTCCACTTAGAGAGGCCTGAGAGCCACCAGGTCCACACACCCCGAGTAAGCCATGTTGGATCAGGCAGGCGCCACAGGACCCCCAGCCCAGGCCACTCCCTGCTGCCCAGAATTGGCAGTCACTTTGGGATCCAGGCTAGACCTAAGGGAGGAACGAGTGGACCGTGATACCCCCTGCCACAATGACTAAATACCAAAGGAGAGATACCAGAAATATGAAAAATCAAGAAAGTACATTACCACCGAAGGAAAATAACAATTCTCAAGCTCCTAGATCCTATAGAACAGGATGTCCTTGAAATGACTGAAAAGGAATTTCGAGCAACAGTTCTAAGGAAACTAAATGAGATACAGGAAAACTCAGTTAGACAACACAATGAAATGAGAAAAAATATACAGGATCTGAAAGAAGAAATGTACAAAGAAATTAATGCCCTGAAAAAGAATGTAGCAGAGCTTGTGGAGCTGACGGATTCATTCAATGAAATAAAAAACACAACAGAGAGTCTAACCAGCAGGCTAGAACAAGCAGAAGAGAGAATTTCTGACCTTGAAGACAGGCTGTTTGAATTAACACAGGTTGACCAGAAAAAAGAATTTAAAAAATTGAAGAAAATCTAAGAGAGATAACAGACAACCTTAAGCACTCAAATATCCAAACCATGGGTATTCCAGAAGGGAAAGAAAAGGAAATGCCATTGAAAACATATTCAACAAAATAATAGCAGAAAAGTACACAGGCATAGGGAAAGTAACAGATCTTCAGATTCAGGAGGCCCAAAGATCCCCAAATATATTCAACCCAAAAATGTCCTCTCCAAGACATGTTTTAGTCAAACTGGCAAAACTCAAAGACAAAGAGAGAATCTTAAAAGCTGCAAGAGAGAAGTGGCAAGTCATCTATAAGAGAACCACAATCAGACTAACATCAGACTTCTCATCAGAAACCCTAAAAGCCAGAAAAGAATAGGATGGTATATTCAAAATACTAAAGGACAAAAATTGCCAGCCAAGAATACTTTACCCAGCAAGGCTATACTTCTGAAATAAAGGACAAATAGTATATTTCTCAGACAAACAAAAACTGTGGAGTTCACTACCACATGACCAGCCTTACAACAAATTCTCAAGGGAGTACTGGGTTTGATACCTGAAAAACAACCATCATGGCCATGAATACTCAAGAAAGAACAAAACCTACCAGTAAAACAAAAATGCTAACAATAAAGAGAAAAAGTAGTTTATCTACCACCCCCAAGAAACCAACAAACACAGAAGAACAACAGAAAATCAGAAAGATTTTCTGACAAAGAATTAATATCCAGAATATAAAAGGAACTCAAACAACTTTACAGCAAAAAAAAAAATAATAATAATAACCCAATTAAAAAATAGGCAAAGGAGCTGAATAGGCATTTCTCAAAGGAAGATATACAAATGGCCAACAGACACATGAAAAAATGCTCAACATCACTCAGCATTTGAGAAATGCAAATCAAAATCACTTTGAGATACATCTCACTCCAGTTAGGATGGCTAATATCCAAAAGACCGAGAATGATAAATGCTGATGAGGTTACGGAGAAAAAGGAACTCTCATACACTTGGTGGGACTGCAAAATGGTACAGCCTTTAAGGAAAATGGTATAGAGGTTCCTCAAACAATTAGGATAGATCTACCATATGACCCACCTATTTCACTGCTGGGAATATACCCAGAGGAAGGGAAATCATCATGCTGAAGGGATACCTGTACTCCCATGTTTACTGCAGCACTCTTTACAATAGCCAAGAGTTGGAACTAGCCCAAATGTCCATCACCAGATGAGTGGGTAAGGAAAATGTGGTATATCTACACAATGGAATACTACTCTGCTACAAAAAAGAATGAAATACTACCATTTGCAGCAACATGGATGGACTTAGAGAAAATTATATTAAGTGAAATCAGCCAAGCACAGAAAGAGAAATACATGTTTTCACTTATTTGTGGGAGCTAAAAATAAATAAACAAATGAATAAACAAACATATGGCAGGGGGCAAGCGGAAGAAGACACAACAATCACAACAATTCCTTGAACTTGTTAAGACAAGTGAACAGATATGATGTTGATGGAGGAGAAAGGGACACGAAAATCAACTACATTGTATATTGATAAATTAAAATTTTAAAAAGTAAAATAAACATCCTAGAGCTGGCATATTAAAAAAAAAAAGGCTCCAATTAAGAAGCTTACAATGCCTAAGATATAGTAAGCCCACAAGAAATGTCAGCTATTATCTATTACCTAGTATACTATCTGGACATAGTAAGCAAATACTTCTTTACTGGATGAATTATGCAAATATATGAAAGGTACAATAAATAAGTACTAACAAAATACCCTTGGTGTTCAGAAGAAGGAGATATCTCTGATAGGATCAAAGAAGGTTTTGAAAAGGAATTAACATTTCACATGGGTGTTGTAAAACAAATAGACTAATGAGGGACAGAAATAAAGGGGAGAAGTAATGGGTATTAAAGCTAGAAAACTAAGTTGGGGCCAAATATCAGCAAATCCTTAATGCTGGCTTAGTAAGCCCTATAGTTCGCTAAAAAATGTACTTAACAAATATATCAACATATTTTTGAAATTCAAGATTATCTTTAATAATGGTACTATAATTTATAATATATATTATATGTAACATATAACATATTACACAATACATAATCTATATTAACATATAACATAAATTATACATTATATATATAATAACCTATAACATATATTATATAATACATATATATGTAACATATAACATATATTACATAATATGTGACATAACAAAATATAAGTATATTATAAAATAGTGATTGAAGTCATGAAAATCCTAATTTATGCAGATATCCCCCATCAGATTTTGCTGCTCTCAGAATCTCAAATTGATTTACTAATTGGGTTGTTGTAAATTTACTGGTGGATAGTAATAACGGCATTCCTTTTTAATCTACCACTGAATCAATATATTTTTAAAATTTGGCAGCAGTTGTTGCTTTTACATGGCCTATTTTCCCCCAACAATTCTAACTCCATACCTCCAGCTTAAAAGTGGTATCCCTTTGTCCTTGACTAATCTATGCTAAGCTGAGGAACTACTTCACTGACAAACTGCACTTCAACATATTTTTAACCTCACTGAAATGGATACTGGTATACATCTTAGATTGCCAGTCAGTCTTGGCTTGAATGAAAATCTCCCACTGAAACCTTGACATTTTTTGATTAAGTGCTAGAAAGTGACAGCATCAATGCATCTTGAGTTGTTGAAATTTGGTAGCTGTGCTTACACAGATAAAAGCTATGTGGCCAGAAATGTTTGTCTTTATATCCTCTATTTTGGTACCCATGCAACAGAAGCTTGGGTTTTCTGACATCCACTCCCCAATAACTCCCTCAAAAAATATTTATTGAGGTCCTACTATGTGTCAGACACTATTCTTGGTGCTGGGGATAAAACACCTCATAAAATGTGAAAAGATATTATTTTAGATGCCAGATGCTGTCCCTCTTACACGGTTGTCGTCCCTGTCTTTACAGGAGGAAATTCAATAGTTGCAACCTCTAAAACTTATACACCTTCCACGCCCAATCACGGAGAACAACCATTTTCCTGAAATCCCATCTCACAGTCATTCTTTACTGGTTGGAAATAGGAACGGTAATAGGAATGATATGTAGTTCGTGTACATAACCCTTGTAAAGATGTACTGTCAATGGCATATTACAACCGGGCAACTTCTTACAAGGACTAACACTTGAGAATGAAGCTCTTAGATATTGCATAATAAAACAGAATTAAGAGGTCTGAGAGAAATCAGGCAGCAAATTCTGGGTCAAAAAAATTCGGGGGGTAAATTCATTAGGCAGTTCAAGAAGAAAAGCATCACAAATCTACAAAGTTCACTTAACCCCTCCCTAATCCTCTTTAAAGTGTGGCTTTCTTCTCCCCTATATTCTTACAAGAGATTCACTTCCTTGCCTAACAGGATGTTTTTCTCTGAAACTTGTGGTAGGTAAATAATGAAAGTTTACTTAAGGTTCGCCTGTTATCAAAGTACCTTTTACTCCCTCCCCGCTGCCCACGTTGGGACCGCCCGGTAACAGCGCCCGGGAAGAATGGAGGAAGACTAGATTCCCATTCCCGGGAGGCCACCCAGGAGCAGGGGTCGCGCACTTGACTCGGCCACCACGATCCGGCTGCACCTGGTGGGAATCGGATCAACCAAGGAGAGTTCTCTCTCTGGATATTCAGTGAGTCCCGACTGAGTGCCCAGACACTTCCACACGCTTGTTTCAGAGGCTCGGGCCCTCCCCACCCTGCTACGCCAGGCGACAGCCACGCGTGGTACTTCTCCCGAGCGTCGTAGTCCCGCTACGCCGCAAAGTCAGGGCCAAAGCCGGCGGCGGCCACCTGCCACGGTCCCCACCGGGACCCTCCCCGCTGCGAGGGCACCCACCGTACGCGAAGACACCGCTTCCAGGGCTGCCTCCTCCGGCACAGAAGAGCTCACCTGCGACCCCGGCTGCACCTCCGCACGATCGCCCCTAAGGGGGATAGGAAAAAAGATGCTTCATTGATTCCCCGCCCCCCTACTTCGCCTGCTCCTCTCCCGCCACTCATTGGCTGGCGCCGATGCCGCTTATTTGCGGCGGCACATCCATTGGCCAGAAAGGGATAGCCATTCTGGCTGTGAGCCCGCCCCAGGCCTGGCCTCACAATGGGAATCGAGTCCCAAACCGGTTCCGGGTTAGTGCCCTGGAATTCCGCCCCCTCGTGATTCACCTCCCGCTGTGCGCTCAGCCTTTGGCGCGCGACACTGTCAGTCAAGTGGGCTCTGGGAAAGAACTGGCCTCTAGCGATCTGTTTGCTACGCTGTCCCGCCTGACTGGGGAACTGGCAGTTCCGTCTCCACACCCTGTTGCTGTCCTTGACCCTCACCTGCCAAGAGGGCAAAGAGAATGGTAGCCTTGTGTTCCTACAGCCTGTGTTCCATGGCCAGCCTCACCTTCTACTAGACCAACTGCGATATAGTTTGGCTTCAACCATTCCTCCAAGACTGCCCTTGCCCAAGGTCACCGGTGACTTTCTGTGGCTAAATCTTGGAGTCACTTCTCAGTTTTTATCTTACTTGACTCCTCATAAAACATTTAACTTGACCATTTCTTCACTAGTTTCCTTAACATGTGTTTTTCCTGGTTTTCCTCCCTTTCAGGCTTCTTCTCTTTCCCTCTTTGCAGTTGCCTCTTTTTCTGCCATCTAAAGATCAGGTGTTACTAATGGACCTGTCTTCCCACTGCCTCCGTTCGGGCCTCTGTTGACTCTTACCTGAATTACATCAGCAGCCTCCTAACTGGTGTCCCAGCGTTGTCTGCCCGACTGTAGTCTATTTCCATACTGTAGCCAAAATAAGTTTCTTGAAGTTCTTTAGTGGAATCTCACTATTTTTGTGATAACGTACAAACTCCTTACAAGGATTACAAAACTCTGAAAGATAAGGCTCCTGCTTTTTTCTCGAGTTTCCTCTCTCAACATTACCCTCCTCACCCGAATTCCTTTGCTTCTTTCAGTTCTTGGGCTCTGCGGTGGCCTTTAGGACACGGTTTGCATAGCTGTGTTTTCCTCCCGGAAAGATTTCGCCCTGCCTCTTCCCTGCTAAGCCCAAGATTCATCATAGAAATTATTTTCTGAAGGAAGCCTTTATTTCTCTCCATTCACCCTAGCTCCAGTTTCAAATTTTCCCTCCAGTGTAGGCCTCCCAGACAAAAGACAGGACACTCCGTTCAATTTGAAGTTCAGAGAAACCACAAATAATTTTTAGTATAACTATGTCCCATGCAATACTTGGCATCTCGTTATTTTTATTTGCTAAATCTGGCAACCTTGCTACGGGGAGTGCCCATCACAGCCTGCACCTTTTCTTTGACAGCTCTTATCACATGTTCCATACAGGTCGGATTTTTCTTGTTCTCTGTTGTATGAGTGTGCTTCAAAAAGGTCATGGAAAGATTCGTATCTTCCAATTCTATTTTCCACCAACTTTTTGAAGTACCCTCATAATTTCTTTGCCTAGTACAGTGTCTGAAATATAACAGGCACTCAAAAGATTTGGTAAATAAATGATGGAATATTCTCCATGAATGTTCAATCCTTGCTGGATATTTCTGGAGGAACTCTTCTTCCATAAAATAGGAAGTGCTTATGAAATATGCTCTTTGAAATGCAATGATCAATTTAATCTTACAGATTTTTACTTATGGCTTTGTTGAAGAAACATGCCTATACTCTTGCCTAAGTAGAACAAAAAAAACTTGTTTTTGAAAAAGTACAGGAACTTGTATTTTGTAATTTGGGGTTGTGTTTGTGGTGGACATTTTGGGGGGTGAGTGCAGTGAGAAAGTAGGAGAACTATCCATCCCCATTATGACCAGACACTTTCTCTCTGTCCCCTTTCAGAGTCTGTCCACCACTTGAATCTGTTTATTTAATTCAGTAGCAAGGATAAGGTCTCAAATGAGTCAGTAAATATTAAGAAACTTCTGCTTTCCTATCATGAACTCTAAACTTCCCCCAATTAACCTCAGTCTCCTTGCTGATTGCAGGATCTTTTCCAGATACCCTCACTATTTCTTTTTAGCTTTATTTTGTCTGGGTGGATGTGGACCAAAAATGGAAAGATTGAAGGTAATCCATAATGCCTAATATTAGTACTCCATTACCAACCTGATTTTCTGTTAATTTCAGGCTAGAGATTTGACCCAAAGGTACTTATACAGTATTCTGGAACTCTGCTGTCCAACTGTAAGAGCCAGATGAATCCTTGACATGTGGCCAGTACAACTGAATGACAATTTTAACTGTATTTAATTTTAATTACTTTTAATCAAAATTTTAAAAAATGATACTCAATTCAGGTATTAGATAACTTCTAAGTATGTTTGGAAAACTTGGGTTAAGTTTTTCAACTGTAAATTTTTTGAAATTTAAATACAGATCAAGTTTTTCCAAAAAATAGTGTCTGAATTGAGATGTGCTGTAAGTGTAAAAATATACACAGGATTTCAAGTTTTAGTATGAACAAAAATGTAAAATATCTCATTGATCATTTTTATCTTGATTATAAATTGAAATTATAATATTTTTCATAATTGGGTTAAGGAAAACCTATTATTAAAATTAATTTTACCTGTTTTTAAAATTTTTTCAACTTTATTGAAGAATGATTGACAAATAAAAATTGTATAGATTCAAGGTGTACACTGTGATGATTTGGTATACATAAACATTGTGAAATTATTAACACAATCTAACATATCCATCACTGCATGTAGTTGCCACTGTGAGTGTGTTGTGTGTGTGTGTGTGTGTGTGTGTGGTGAGTACACAAGATATACTCTCTTCCTAAAGTTCAAATAAACAATTCAATATTATTAAATATAGTCACCGTGCTGTATGTTAAATCCGCTAAACTTATTCACATTATGATTGGAAGTTTGTATGTTTTTGCCAGTATTTCCCCATTTCCCCTACCCTCCAGCCCCTGGAAACCACTGTTTGTTAAACTCTCTGCCTTTGTGAGTTCAACTTTTTTAGATTCCATGTATAAGTGAGATCACACAGTATTTGTCTTTCTGTGTCTGACTTATTTCACTTACATAATGTTTTCCAGATTCGTCCATGTTGTTGCAAATGGCAGAATTTCCTTCATTTTTATAGCTGAATGATATTCCATTGTGTGTGTATCTCACAGTTTTTTGTGCATTCATCCATAGATAGACACTTAGGTTGTTTCCATTTCTTGGCTATTGTGAATAAAGTTGCAGTGAACATGGGGATGCAGATATCTCCTTGAGATACTGATTTTTATTTCCTTTGGGTATATACCAAGAAGTGGGATTGCTGAGTTGTATGGTAGTTCTATTTTTAATTTGTTGAATAAACTCCATACTATTTTTCATAATGGCTATAACAGTTTACTTTCCACCAACAGTGTATAAAGATTTCCTTTTCTCCACATTCTCACCAACACTTGTTATTTTATTTTTCTTACAATAGACATCCTAACAGGTGTGAAGTGATATCATATTGTGGTTTTGATTTGCATTTCCCTGATTATTAGTGATGTTGAGCATCTTTTCATGTAACTATGGCCATTTGTATGTCTGCTTTGGAGAATCATCTATTTGGGTCCTTTGCCCATTTTTTAATCAGGTTATTTTTTGTTATTGGGTTGTATGAGTTCCTTTTATTCTTTGGATATTAACCCTTTATCAGATACATGGTTCACAAATATTTCTCCCATTCTGTAGAATGCTTTCATTTTGTTGATTGTTTCCTTTGCTGTTCAGAGCTTTTTAGTTTGATGTAGTCCCATTTACTTTTGCTTTTGTTGCCTGTGCTTTTGGTGTCTTACCCAAAAAATTCATTGCCAAGACCAATCTCAAGGAGGTTTTTCCCTATGTTTTCATCTGGGAGTTTTACAGGTTCAGGTCTTACATTTATGTCTTTAATTCACTTCAAGTTAATTTTTGTATATAGTATATGATAAGGGTCCAATTTCATTCTTTTATGTAGATACTCAGTTTTCCATTATGGAAGAGCCTATCCTTTCCCCGTTGCATATTCTTGGCACCCTTATCAAAGATTAGTTGACTATAGATGAATAGATTTCTTTCTGGGCTCTCCATTCTGTTCCATTGGTCTGTGTTTGTACTTTTATGCCAATACCATGCTATTTTGATTACTGTAGTTTTGTAATACAGTTTGAAATCAAGAAGTATGATTCCTCCAACTTCATCCTTATTTCTCAATATTGCTTTAGCTATCTGTGTTTTTTTTTATTTTTTTAATGTTGCTAATAGAAAATTTAGATTTACACATATGCCTTGCATTATATTTCTATTGGACAATGCTGTTCTAGACTGCCTGAACACAGCTTATTAAAAGTCTCAGAATGTGAATATAATAGTAACTAAAATATTTCTATTTCATTGCTTTTCATTTAACAAAAGGGAAATGAAAAATCTCTATTTCCCTTTTGGCTCCAAATGCAACTTAGTTAAGAAAAAACTAGCCCAGTGAATGTGTTATAACCTATGTTACACAACAGCAACTACACTTAATGTATCATGCTGTTTCCAGTCTTTGTTTTTGCCTTTGCACATGCTGTTTCCTCTTCCTGCAATGCCCTGCTTCCTCCCTGTCTTGTCCTTATTACATACTCTTAAGCTCATCAAAACCCACTCTTCCCTGACAACCTTAGAACAGATCAAGTTTTCCTTTCTCATAAGAGTTTTCTACTTATGCATATTTGATTTGGATATCATACAGTACCATTTACCTTTTTATCTCCGGCACCTAGCACATTACCTGGCACCTACACTGGCAAAAGTATATTTGCTGAGTTGAACTGAACCCTAAACAAGATAACCCTTACTCTGTTTTGTCCTCTGTGGTATTCCAACAAACTGCTTGAAATTTTTATCATTGATCAGGTAAATTACAATGGTTTGTGAAATGACATTGCAAGCTTTTC